TTGGGAAACAGTGGTGAACAGTGATTGGCCATTGGGAAACAGTGGTGATCAGTGATTGGTCATTGGGAAACAGTGGTGATCAGTGATTGGTCATTGGATAAACAGTGGTGATCAGTGATTGGTCATTGGGAAACAGTGGTGATCAGTGATTGGTCATTGGATAAACAGTGGTGATCAGTGATTGGTCATTGGATAAACAGTGGTGAACAGTGATTGGTCATTGGGAAACAGTGGTGATCAGTGATTGGTCATTGGAAAACAGTGGTGATCAATGATTGGTCATTGGATAAACAGTGGTGAACAGTGATTGGTCATTGGGACACAGTGGTGATTAGTGATTGGTCATTGGATAAACAGTGGTGATCAGTGATTGGTCATTGGGACACAGTGGTGATTAGTGATTGGTCATTGGATAAACAGTGGTGATCAGTGATTGGTCATTGGGTAAACAGTGGTGATTAGTGATTGGTCATTGGAAAACAGTGGTGATCAATGATTGGTCATTGGATAAACAATGGTGATCAGTGATTGGTTATTAGGAAAAAGTGGTGATCAGTGATTGGTCATTGGGAAACAGTGGTGATCAGTGATTAGTCACAAGCACAACACAGTCAGTCATTACACACACTGATGATGAGTGGAGCAAACCCGCTCTCTCAACTCGTATATCAACAATGATTTGAGCTGGAGAGCTGTATCGAGTTCAGGAAAGTCACTAACATGGGCTAAAAAAGTCACTACAATTGTTGCTAGGCTCTTTTTGAATTTGAATTTGCATTACTATATGACACACATCACTGCGTACTTCCAGTAATGTTTATGTTGGTGTCCTTTCAAAGCCATAAAGAAGAAATGGTACATTTGATCAAAATTTGGGTCCACTATTAAATTACTAGAGGGTATACAAAGTGTTTTTTATGGTGTGTGCTTTCTTTAAGACTCATTTTTTTTATCTTTACATTACAGTGGTTATTTAGGGAGCCTGGTCGAATATTGATCTGACCTTAAAGAGTTTCTTAGAGAGAATGAGTTGCAAGGGCACCATTAGTGTATTATCTAGGGGAACTAATAATTGTACACCATCAAAAAAGGTCGTGTTCTGAGGAATGGGGCAGATAAAACCTCAGTACAATGTTCAATATAGTAAAAAGCTCCACATATTGACTTAGATAACAATACATAACAACAATAGATAACAATAAGAGCTTTTAGAGGACTTGGTGAAGCTGATTTTTCTTTCTAAAATGCTATTATAAATGCTATTATTTTATATATATTAATTATATATAAAATAATAGCATTTATAATATTCTAAAATGCTATTATTTCTTTCTAAATGCTATTTCTTTATAAAATACTATTAAATGTGTTACATTTTGTGACATTGGATTTTGTGTGTCTACAGTATTTCTCAGGCTAATTAACTTTAACAACTCTTGTGTATCTTGTTATTGTTTCACATGGTATATGCACATGTATGTATGAGACGCTTAATTGGTGCTGTAGAACAAAGTCTATCATCACTGTACGGATGTTCATAAAGACAAGACTGGCTTGTAATGGGATTTTATTTGGGAGTTACATTGGTACTTTTTCACGATTGGCCCAAATCCTTGAGTCTGTACCCAGGACTAATTGAGGAAGGGCATCATCAATGCAGATTTACTTGACAGACTGACAAATTCCCTCCTAACTGTGAACGGATTGCTCAATTCTATATGCCTCCTTGCATAAAATGTTAACACGACAGGAGATATAGAGACATCCCTGTCCTTACTGTCCTTATTTATGTTGATTTATACCACAGTGCTGCTGAATTCTCAAATCTGATTGGTCAGAAGGTGTGCAGAAGCTGGTTATTTTTGTGTAACCCTATGGCTCGGACAGTAGTTCTGGCTGTAACATGAACGTTTGGTTTATATCAATGCTCCACATAATCTAAGCGTACACATAAATGAATGGAAAAAAGGTGCTGTTATTTAACAAACGTAGTGTTTTGTAACAGTTCGTTTTCCACCATAGGAAAGTCTTCTGGACAGGGAACTTTCAAAACAGATGTTGGACATTCCACAGCATTCCACAGCATTAAATGTAACTGTAAGTGGTTCTAAGTATGAAGTACCATTTGTTAATACAATAAAATTGTAATTGTAATCATTGGCAAATAAAGATTTGGTTATACTGTATAATAAAACACCCTGATACGTGGTGCTACTGGGAAAATAATCAACTCAGTTGCTTTGAAATTACACCACGCAGTCATTGATTTATTTCCTATAACAGCACACCTGGTTGTGTTTTATTCCTTACTTAATTCATGTATGTTTTATTTAGTAGTGTTTCTTT